TAAATAATAAGGTAGATACACAAAATGAGAATCCTTTTGAAATAGAAGGAAAAAGAAGTTGAAATCCTCTTGTTAATGCTTTCAAAATTTTGGTCCTATATTACAAAAGACAAATCAAAACTTGAAACCCCTAGTTTATTATTACTAAATTATACTTCTCCTCTCCTAGAAAAATAAATGTTTTATCTTTTTATTTTTTTTATTGTATTTTGGGATTAAAGATTTGGGAACAATTTCTTATTTTACCCATTTACCCTTAAAATATAATAAAAATAAAAAGACTTTTATATAATAGGATGAATAATTAAAATTAAAAAATAGTAATAAAATTAAAATAAAGAAAAAAGTATTTGTCTGTCTTAAATTATAACAGAAGAACTATTACTTTGAGAAAAATTTTAAATCAAAAAACATATATTATTATGGAATGGAGTAAAAATTTAAGGATTTTTCTTATGTTCATTAAAAACTTATAGAATAAGTTACTTAGGGGACACAACTTATAGAATATGTAACATATCAAATGGAAAAATATGAAAATAGATAAGGGAAAATATCATCTCAAGATTGTTAACAAAGATCTAACCTTGAGCTGCAAATATCAATCTATTTTCAACTAAAATAGTTTATCTAGATATATGACTCATATTATATAAAGGGTGGAGGAAAGTGAAGGGAATAGGTTGAAAAGAGAATAAGGATATATATGCCTCAAACCATAAAAAAGTAGGATCTTTGTGAAAATATTGGTATGGGGCAATCAACAAGATTTGAAATGATTTAAGATAAGTAACATGAAACAAAAGATCTAAAACACCCACCCCTTCTTGATGATCATTAATCATGGAGATGTAGGCCCAATGTTAAGCCATAAATAATTGAGGTTTTTCAGCCAAAACGCTTCACAAAATTAAAAATGATTTTTGGTCACATCAAAGGATTTTATTTGAATAAAATTTAGTGTATATAAAGTAGAAATTAATAAGACCAAGGGAAAACTATAAATAATGGGAGATTCTTAACTAACAAACTTCTTAGAATGAAAAATGATCTCTTTCTCATATTAAAAGACTTCATTTGACTAAAATTCAACCATATATTGAGTAAATTTCACACAAGAAAACAACGTGGACCAATCATGTCGAACAAAAAAGATAAAAGAGATCAAATTTAAAACAAATTAATGGGAAAAAAAAAAAAACATACACAACAAAATCATGTAACAGTGTTACTGAGCCTCAAACCAAACAAACTTAAACAACAAATATCTAGATAGTGAAATCAAACCCCATCTCAGGACACACATAACATCATAGAATCAACACATAAACAAAGATGAAAACAACCCATTAATTAATCTCACACACAAACAGATATAACAATAGCTTAGCGAAGGGTCTAAGGAATATACCACAAAAAAGAGACTGAACAGGAACTAAATTGAACAAGAAACTGAAGAGGCAATGGCTTGAAAACGAGATACTCCTCGAAAATTATCTGAACTAGTGTGAAAAATAACACCAGAGAGGGTGCAATTTATAAGGTAAATGTGTGGGGCAGAATTAAGGAATGCTTGTGGGTTTTTGAGGGAAGTTTCCATTGATGGAATTGCATCATTATCACATTTGTGTAAGAATGAGCAAGTATGGTAGTATTGTGTAATGGTGGAGCTGCTGACCAATTGGATGCACTGCACTGGAACCCTCCTCATAACTAAGCCCCATGTCAATTTTCTCCTTTTTTCCTCACCAAAACCTCTTCCTTCTATGGTTTCTCCTCTAAATATCTCAATTTGCACGGAAAGAAAGAATGCCATTTCTCTGAGCTCCCGTTTCTTTTTTGCCTTCTAGCGTTTTTTCCCTTCTTAGCTACGCTTTTTCCCTCCCAATTCCCTGACTTGTTCTTATCCAGTAGCTTCAAACTTTAATTAACATAAAACATTTTTTTTAATTAAAAAAATTTTTTTTTGTCATATAATTTTTAATTTTATTTTTCTTCCATTTTATTAATTTTTCCTTGCTTTTCTTTACTAATTTATTCGTGTAAATATCTATACACATTTTCTTATCTGCTTTTTCTTAATGAAAAAAAAAAAAATCAGAGTTTGTCATCTTCTTAATTTCTTTTCTTTTTCAGCCAATTTTTTTATTTTTAAAAAATATATACAAATTGGTAGTCTAGCTGTAATTAATGCCATTTATGATTAAAATTGCTATTTTAGCTGCTTTTCTAATTATTTTTAAAATAAATAAAAAAGAGGCTTAATGCTTAGACAATTCTTACTCTAACTAATACTTCTTTTATCCTAAAATAGCTATCATTTTTTTACCTTTTTCTACAAATTAAAGATTTGAGAACAATTTATGTATTTACCTATATTACCTTAAGAAAATGGATAGTTTATATATTTATCTATATTATTGTTTGAGAAAGGCTAAAATATAAAATAAGACTTTTTGTGATAGGATAATTGATCAAAATAAATAGATAATGATTTAGTTAAACTAAGAAAAAATATTTGTCTACCATTAAAAATAAAAAAGCAACAATTAAGTTATGACAAACTATTGAAATCACAAAAAAAAAAAAAAAACTATAGTTATTTGGGGACAGATAAAGTAAATTTTTACTAATTATTAGAATAGTATTTCTTTCAATGAATTTGATTGTATTTATCTATTATTTTCATAAGTTGGTCTAACTAATAAACAATGTCACAATGATTAAACTCTAACTAATAAATTTCGACTAATCATTATATATAATGATATTTCATTCAATTATTTTCAATTTTTTTATGTATCATTTCGTAAATATTCTAATTAATAAACAATGATTGTGTTTCTTCTTTTAGTAAATTTATGTTCAAGTTTATTATTTCAGTTCAGTTGGTCGATATAATAGTATTGATTAACTTATTTTATGTAGTCATTAAGTAATAATTGTGTCTGTTATTATAATTAAATTGCTATAGTTTAGTTTGTTATTTCGATTAGTTGTTATAATAGTATCATTTAATCAACTTGTATGTAGTCATTAATAATGATTGTGTTTGTAGTTAAATTGTTATAATTTAGTTCGTTGTTTCAATTAGTCATTTATAATTGTATATCAAGGTATTATTTATACTAAATATATTTAATCAATATTTTAGACCAAAATAATTGAATGAAAAATCGTTATAATAAAAAAAAGTCACTATTTTAGTCATTGCCACTAATTGCTTTTCCAAATCACATTGTATTGATTCTTTTCTTGGTTCCATATTGTATTGATCTCAATTGAGTAACAAAAATGTTATTAAGTTTCATTATCAATGATTTCAATTTTTTTTTTTATCATCAAAACAAAGATTTTATTAATTAGAGAAAGGGGTCTTATAGGTTGTTTGCTTTAACTTTTTACAAAAAGTCATTAACTATTAACTCTAATTAGACAGCTTAAATATTTTGAATTGCAAATAACAATAATTATGAATTATTAGGTATTAATTATCAATTATCAATTGTATTTAAATTGCTAATCCAAACAACTAGATACTCTTTCGTTTTTTACATTTACTCTTGTAAAATCCAATTTGACTTTTTCCTTAACTAACAATTAGCAATTATTCTTTTTTCTTTTTTCCTTAAATTAACTTCTAACTAT